GTATCAATTGCACTTTTCTTCTAGGATTTTTTCCAGACTAAAAGAAAGAAATCAAAATATATACATCTTTAGAAGACATTATTTCCTAGACAAGATTTCACGCATATCAACCATTAATTGATTGAAAAAATGACACTTAAGAAAAGCTCCAGCCGTAACCGGTTTGGCTCAGTGGATAGAGCGTCGGCCTGCAGACTGGAGGGTCCCAGGTTCGATTCCGGTCAAAGGGCATGTACATTGGTTGCGGGCACATCCCCAGTGGGGAGTGTGCAGGAGGCGGCTGATCGATGTTTCTCTCTCATCGATGTTTCTAACTCTCTATTTTCTAGACAAGATTTCACACATATCAACAATTAATTGATTGAAAAAATGACACTTAAGAAAAGCTCCAATATCTCACTTAAAAGACAATTAGACTGAAATGAAGAAAATCACAATTTAGATTAAATTAGAAAATAATCACAAATGCCACTTAAAATCGCATAATAATTAAAATATGTGGCATAAAAATAACAAAATGCCTTCATGGCATAAAGCAATCCTAAGGGTCCTTTTTCTTTCTTGAATAAGAAATAACTAAAAGTATATGAAAACAATTTAATAAGTGAGAATGCTAAAAACTATTGCCTAGCTATAACTAGGTTTTTACTACTATCACAAATAAGAAAATAAAAACCTCATAAACAGATCATTATTACTACATAAAGTATGGTAATCTTATAAGATTATTACTATTTTAAAATATATAAAAACTCTTAGTTTCCTGGAAAAAAATAAAGCAATAGAACTATGAAATTTTAAAATTAGGCCAAAAAGCTTCAACTTCTTTCGCCTAACTGTTAACATTGATACCATGAGAAAGCACAAGTAATCCACTTAACGAGGTCAAAAATCATTTTCTGAATTTCTCGGGCTGAATAAAATGTAAGCCAAAAGATTCCTGAACTAATGGAGGGCTTAAAATGGCCATGACTCCAAAGCCAGAGAATGATTTTCTCAAACAGCTTCACTGACTCTGACAAAACGCTTAAACCTCTGTGAGAATATTTTAAATTTACACTTTTAAACAAATGGAAATGTTTTTTTGAAACTTGCTTTCTTTAAATAATCTATTCCTTATGTTAATTAGTTTGTGGCAAACATTTCACAACACTCACATATATCAAAGCATCATGTTGTACACCTTAAATATATACAGTTTTTATTTGTCAACTAGAGGCCCGGTGCACAAAATTCGTGCATGAAGGCGGGGGGGGGGGGTCCCTCAGCCCAGCTCCAATTGGGGACCGCTTGGGGCCCTTGGGGGATGTCCGACTGCCGGTTTAGGCCCGATCCCACAGGATGTCCAAAACGGGCAGTCACACATCCCTCTCACAATCTGGGACCACTGGCTCCTAACTGCTCACCTGCCTGCCTGCCTGATCACCCCTAACTGCCCTCCCCTGCCGGCCTTGTTGCCCCCAACTGCCCTCCCCTGCTGGCCTGATCTCGCCCCCAATGGCCTTCCCCTGCCGGCCTGATCTCGCCCCTAACTGCCTTCCTCTGCTGGCCTATTTGGTTCTGATTGGTCAGTTTCTATGCCAATCAGCGTCAAAAGCTCCACCTCCTAGGCAAGCATTGGCTCCCCACAGCACCCAGATTTGGGTCTGATTGGTCGTGTCCTATACCAGTCAGCATCAAAAGCTCCACCTCGTAGACAGCCATTGGTTCTTCACAGAACCCACACTTGGTTCTAATTAGTCGGTTCCTATGCCAGTCAGCATCTCCGGGCCTTACTGGGCCTGATCAGAGAGGTGGGACTGAACAGCAGCCCCTGACAGAGGCTGGGAGAGAAAGAAAGGCCTGGCCTCTGCAAAGCCCAGAAAGAAAGAGGGAGAGAAAGAGAGAGGCAAGTACTGATCAACAGATGCCACTGAGGCTGCGGATCAGACCTGTGATCAGTCGTTACAACCCTGGGCTTTAATATATTAGAATTATATCTCAATAAAAGCCAAGGGGAAAAAATGCTCCAGTCATAAACAGTATCCTACATTAGTGAAGTTTTTCTGCTCAGATTCTCCTATATTCCCTTTTGCCTCCACTTTTCCTACTGGAGATAACAATAGCACTTTCTAAAAATTGAATGGGTTATTAACCCTCCTGTCTCCTATTAACACCCTCACCTCTTAATTCCTTGAACTGCTCTCTCTTTTCTTATCCACTATCTTGTTCTCAGCCCATCACCTGCACCCCAAATGGTCATATCAAGACCTTGTCATTAAAAATAACCAAAATCATTCCACAATCTCACTTTCAAACGTCCCACTCTTCCTCCACTACACTCTTATCTTCCCAGCTCATTCCCTTCACAATGTCAATAATCCTTAGACCCCACGGACTCCTCCAATCCATTAATTTGACCATCTTTATACTGTCATTCACTATCTTCCCATTATAATTTCTCAAATCCCTTGGCCTTCACTTGCTTTGTCATACACAAGTAGCAAAGCCCCAATCCTGGTTAAATGAGTCACGCCTTATTGGAGGTCTGCACTTATGAGTGCTCATGTGACTAGAGAAAAACACACAACAATGCTAATTGGCCTCAGTTGATCTCCATGATCACTCACCTCAAGTGAACCCTTAGTGCTACCTACATATTATCCTAAACCTTTCACTTTTTTACTCTTCTGAACTGCTATTTTATTTATCCTCTAACATAACTTCAAGACTCCAGAATCTGTTCCTTCAACTTTTCTCTTGACTAATAATCATTCTTCCTATTTCACTGAGAAAATAAAAACAATCAGAAGAGTGTCCAAAACTTCCCCAAACTGCACCTCCCCTTGGACCTTTGCCCTTGTACTCTGCTTTCTTTCCTGTTATTATGGGTGACATTTTCATTCTCCAAGCAAAGACCAATCCTTAATCTTTTCATCTGTGCCCTGGACTCACATGCTGTCCACTATCAATGATATTGCTCTAGCAAATTTTTCCTGTCTTGCCTGTAACATAATTTTTGCATATAAACAGGCTATATTATTTGTCCCATCTTAAAACAAACAAAAAAACCCCCACTTCCTCCAGTTACTGATCCATTTCTCTCTTATACAACATAATTGCTTAAAAGAAATAACCATATTCAGTGTCTCTAATCCTCTCTTCTTATTCTTTCTGAAATGTATTCTAATATGGCTTTTTCTACTACTAATTAAAACTGCTTTATCAAAATCATCAATGACCTCCATGTTGTTAAACCCAATTTTCAGGCCTCATCTACTTTCATGAGCCATAGTTAATCCTTTCTTACTCCTTTGAAATGTTATCTTCACTTGGCTTCCAGGCTTCGATTGTCTTCACACTCTACTGGTTTTCCTCATATTCTCTAGCAGCTCCTTCTCAGTTTCCTTGGCTGGTTCCTCCTCTTCATGTCAACTTCTTAATGTTGAAGTACCCCAGGGTTCAGTCCTTGGACTATTTCCTCTTTTGTGAACATTCAGTCCTTTGGTGACATCATTCAATCTCATCACTTTAGATACCACCTATATCTGATAATTCCCCAATTTTTATCTGTATGCCTGACCTTTCCCCTGAACTCCAGATTCATATATCCAGCCTTATTAACCTTGCATTTTGGGTGTTTGACATTTCATATTAAACGCAAATAGCATAGCAATGATAGATTTTTTTTCAAAAAATTATTTTATTTAAAAATTGCTAATATCATTACTATGATGTTTTTATAAGCTAGTCTATGATAGGCTAGTAAAATTTTTTAAAGTACAACAGACATCGTGTGGTCTTTAAGAATATAATCTTCAACCCAAAATTTTAGACTCAACTGAACTATCATATGAAGAAAATAGTGTTATCTTCAGACATACAAGAGATGTTCAGGGCCACAATTAAGGAAACCAAAGGAAAGTTGTGAAAATCAGTAACTTAAAAAAAATAGGCTTATATTTTTTATATCCATATTTAAATGTTAAACTTACTTTCTTCATGCTGCTATCTGACCAACCTTCCATCCACAATACCTGGCATTTCTTATGCAATGCTGGATTACTCTCACAGTTTATTGTGAAGTTTAAATTTGCAGAATCCATTATCAAGACAATATGCAAGTTTTGCTGAATTCCTAAAAAATATATAAGAAAATTATAATTATGGAATATTACAGCAATAATAATTGGGGAAACCAACATATGGTCTGGTTTTATGAAATAAACATTTCTGAAATGGAATAGTAGGAGCTATTTATTTAAAAAGCACAAACTATGAAACAGCATTAGAGTATGATTTTTATTTTGGTTAAGAAATACTTGTGTGTGTGTGTGTGTGTGTGTGTGTGTGTGTGCATACTAACAAAAAATATCCAGAAGGATATTCATGAAGAAGATACTATATTGCTGTTTTGTATGTTATTTATCAAATGTGATACTGGATTCTATTTTATAATTTTTCTCTCAAACATTTTTGTTTCAATATTCACAAGCAAAATTGATATCTGGTTTTATTTTAAAATACATATTTTCCCTGTTTCAATATCAATGTTATTTTCCTTTCAAAAAAGAAATTTGGAGACTTTCCTAAATTTTCTATGTGCTGAAAAAGTTTAAAATAGCATTGGGATGATCTGTTTCTTAAAGGTGTGGTAGAACTGCCTTATAAACTTGAAGGAGAGGAAAAGAAGGGTAGCTCTTGAACAACTTTTCCTATTTCATCAATATTAAAGGTTCTTTTAGAAAAATAAAGAAGGCAAATATAATAGTAATGTCTGGGTGGTATTATTACCTTTATTTTCACGTATTCAATTTTAGATATATATATAGTACACATAAAACTATTCCTTGTAATAATAGCAGGTTATTAAGTTTAAAAAATCTATAGAGTCTGGCACAAACGAAATACTTCATTAATTCTCTAAGATAGGAAGTACAAGCACTAATTTTACCACATGAAAATAAGGGCAGCAATGTATATTGCCAAACTTTCATTCTTTCCTTTTGCTAAAATTGTGCTAACATATTTTTATTATAGGTTAGCCTTTAAGCTATATTAATTGTTTTTTTCTAAAAGCTCCACAAAAAAAGAAAAAAGTATAAATTACTAACTGGACCCAATATTTAAGAGACCTTTGTAATCTATAGAAAATAAAGTGGATTAAATGAATATTTATTTCATATGAACCAGAGTTTGAATTGATTAATAATTTAGATGTCACTTACTATATGTGAAGTAATTGAAGGTTGGTCCAAAAAATCCATCCTGTGAAGCCTGGTCTTTTAGAGGCAACAGCAAGGGCTCTAACTCTTCAAGGGTATAGAGTCCGGGAACTTCACCTACAACAGACAATTACATTTCTTTTGAATTTTAGTTGCATTACACTAAATCAAGAATACATTTCCATACACAATGCTTTTTCTAATTTTGTATTAAATAATCTGCCCCTATTCAATCTTTGTTTCCAAAAGTACACAAACCTTATCATTTCAATATTACTCACAAATCTACATCTGCTGCCTTCATTTGATAAAATTCAAATTCCTAAGCAAACCATTCAAGACAGTTCATGATCAATCCATGTATCTGGCTTTCTAGGTTCTTTTTCAACACTCCTCCACGGGACCTTGTGTTCTAGCCTCAATAAACTTCTTTGTGGCCCATAAATATAATGAAATGCTCCCTCTTTCTGGAATATAAACCTACAGTTTTCCTCTGCTCCCTATCTTCCCGCAAAATTAGTGTTTATCTTTCAAGATATTACTTTGTCAACTGCTATTCCCATGAACCTTTCCTTACTAACCCTATGCTAAGTAAAGGACTCTTTTCTATTTCACATAATATCCAAACATATCACTGTTTAGCATTCATCACACCCTTTAATAATAAACAAATTACTTCCCTTCCTTGCCAATTAGATCCTGAATTCCCAGAGGACAAATATTTGATCACATTCAATATTAACGGTAGGGCACTCTTAGCAAAGTATCAGGAACACAAATATTTGTTAGGTAAATAAATAAATAAGTGAATGGATGGATAAATAAACTTGTACTCAGTATCAGAAGAACTAATCCACAAACTGCTATTAGCCAAAAGAACGATGAATGGCAAATGAAAGTTGATTAAGACTACAAGCATTTGATAGAGGGCCTGAACCATGTCTCCTATTAATGCAGTATTTAGCACTGGGTCTGGCACATAATGGGTGTTTAATAAATATTTGTTAAACTAATATACTTATAGTTCACAAGAACCTATAAAATTAAGTAAAAATTCTTTTGCTATACATCCAAAGCACTGCATTCATGTAGGGCCCATCACGGTTTGATTTCTACTTTTCTTTAGACTCAACTCAGAGGTATCAGACCACTCACCATTCTGCAAGCTTGCACATATTCAAACACATGCATACATGTACCTATTTCATGTCTTTCTCTAAATTGCAGCCATACAAAAATACTTTTGATTCCTTAAGTTTAGCAAAAAAAGCTGGCTCTGCTTATATATTATACACAATGGGGAATAAGAATTTGAAATAAAAAGAGACAAAGGCCTAATGAGTACTTTCTTTGGAAGTAGTTTTCAAATACATTTTTTGCCAAAAATGTTGGCAAAATAATTACTGAATTAATGTTTATCTGGATATTTGCTTTCACAAAGAAAAAGAAAAAAGTAAGGCTGGTCTACTATTTCATCTCAGACAAAATGAACAAGGTCTCCATCTAGTGACGACTTAAGCAATATGTAAGAATAAGAATATGCACCTTAAAAATAAAAAGGCTATTCTATAAAAAAGACCACAAACATTCAAACCTACCACTTCCATTGTGGCATTACCCCTCAAGTATTTTAACAGAAATTGAACTACCACTTGTCTAACTAGCTTCCTGGTCTATCCTTCTCATTTGGACACTAAAGTATACTAGCAGATACTTCATATTATAAATTAAAGGTGTTTTCTTTCAATCAAATCTGTTAAATTCTAAAGAAAAGACTACATTATTCAAAGCCTACCTCGCATGATATAAAACAAGTATTTATTAATAACTGAGTGAAACATGAGCATCATTTAACTTTGTCCTTGGGTCCCCATAATGGAAGAACCTATGCAGTTGAAACTCTTGGTCCAAGTTTAAAACTAAGCTACCACATACCAATGCTGTGAACATAATTATTCATTATAAAGAGGTTCTGAAAAATAAAAAATGTGAGAAATTGCATGTATCCTTCCCAAGAAACTATCAAAAAGGTCAGGTGGTTCCAGAGAACACAGGAGTATACCATGATTTGAAAAAAATTAGATCTTATATTATCTGTATTCACATGTCCATATTAAGGCCATACCATATCCACTAAAGATGGACAGTGAGGTTCTACAAATATTTTATTGTAAATTATATTACATATTTCCTTACATACTAGTTATTTTATTTTTGTAGATTAAATTTCTACAGATAAAAAAATTGCTATATCAAAGATATGGTACATTTTTTAAATAAGTCAGTACTAGTTGATAAATTTCTCAAGGGGTTATAATAGATCACAGACCAACCAAAAGTGAGTAAGAGGGCCAATTTTTCAGCATATTCACCAATATTCAATGTTAAGAATCATGTTTATATAATTCTTCAATCTTTTGGTTTTACAGAAATTTCTCAATTCTCCTGCTTTGAGCATGTTTAACCCCATGTCATCTTAATAAAAGCTATGCCAAAAATTCTCTGAAACATAATTTTGCACAAGATAATTTTACTGGCATATTTTTTACGTTATTATAACTTTATTTTCTATGAAAAGAAACCATCCACTTACCTGAAGACAAAAGGCTATTGATCATCTCCAAAAATGCAGGATGCACGAATTGGTGATCCTCAAGAAGTAAAACCACCTGTTGTGCTTCGACGCCTGCGAGATTCAGCACCTGCTCAAAAGAAAATGTTTTGGAACAATTAAATATTTTTGGAATACTTAAAAACTTTAATTCTGTCTTTAAACTTAGTCACATTATTTCTTTCTTTATTTGTATATCCGTAATCAAAATTAAAAATCAAATGTTAGCTATACAGTTAGGAAAGTAAATCTAGCGCATGAACAAATACTATTTGGGGAAAATTTTAATTTTTTTCTTTACTTTTATGTAATACTAGTGCCCCGGTGCACAGATTCATGCACATTGAAAGGAAGTTAATTAGAAGGTGGCCGGCAGGGCGGAACTGGGTGAGAAGGGCCGGACACGCCCTGGAGCCACCTCCTACAGTCCCTCCCCAGCTGGCCACACCTGGGGCAACACTGCAGCTCGAAGGTGGTCTGCAGAGTGAGCGGGGTCCCTCCAGCAGGTGGGGGTCCCTCGGCCTGGCCTGCAGGGATCGGGCCAAAACCAGCAGGCCAACATCCTCCAAGGGGTCCCAGAGTGCGAGAGGACACTCTACAAAGTTGCTGTTGCTTCGGCAGCTCTTGCGTTGAGCGTCTGCCCCCTTGTGGTCAATGCACATCATACCTACCGGCCAGTCAGCCAGTTGCTTAGCCTTTTACATATATATTAGAGGCCAGTGCTCGGGTGGGGGCCCTAGGCCTGGGCGGCGATCAGGGCCTATTGGGGCCATCTCACCCAGTCCTGATTGGGGCCAGGCCGGCTGGGGCCTGCCAGCTGCCGGACAGGCCCTTCCCACTGCTGGACAGGGCCGGAGGGCTTGCTGGCTGCCGGACAGTGCCTGCCGAAACGGGGGAAGGACCGGGGGGAGGGATCATGGGAGGTTTGCAGGCTGTGGAGAGGGACTGCGGGAGGTTGGCTGGCCATGGGAGGTTGGCTGTGGGAGCACACTGACCACCAAGGGGCAGCTCTTGCATTGAGCATCTGCCCCCTGGTGGTCAATGCGTGTCATAGCAACTAGTCGACCGTCATTCCGGTCATTCGGTCATAACAGTTGCTTAGGCTTTTGTATCTATAGATATATCTATATGTCTATAGATATAAATTATTGTTGATAGTATTACAGATGTCTCCTATTTTCCTCCCTTTTACCCCCCTCCTCCCAGGTGCAACCCACCCCCAGGTCTTCACCACTCTATTGCCTGTGTCTGTGGGCTATGCATATCCTATATAATAAAAGGGTAATATGCAAATCGACCGAACAGCGGAACAACCGGTCACTATGATATGCACTGACCACCAGGGGGCAGATGGTCAATGCAGGAGCTGCCCCCTAGTGGTCAGTGCGCACCCACAGGGGAAGCGCCGCTCAGTCACAAGCTGGGCTGACGGCTGGCAAGCGCAGTGGCGGTGGTGGGAGCCTCTCACGCCTCTGCGGCAGCACTAAGGATGTCTAACTGTGACAAGGATGTCCGACTGCAACATTAGTCAGTCGGATATCCCTCGAGGGCTCCCAGACTGCTAAAGGGCACAGGCCAGGCTGAGGGATTTCCCCACCGCCGCCGAGTGCACAAATGTTGTGCACCGGGCCTCTAGTAAGTATATAAGTTCTTTGGTTTATCTCTTCTCATCTCCCCAACCCCACATCAAAGTCAGTCTGTTCCATACTTCCGGGCTTCGGGTCTTATTTTGTTAGTCAACTCATTTTGTTCATTATATTCCACAAATAAGTGAGATCATGTGATATTTGTCTTTCTCAAATTAGCTTATTCCACTTAGTATAATATTCTCCAAGTCCAGGTCTTTTACTTCCTTGGTTAAGTTTATTCCTAGGTATCTTATTTTTTTGTTGCAATGGTAAATGAGGTTGTTTTTTTAGTTTCCTTTCGGAGAGTTCATTACTGGTGTAAAAAAATGTCATCAAGCCCTAAACGGTTTGGCTCAGTGGATAGAGCGTCGGCCTGCAGACTCAAGGGTCCCAGGTTCGATTCCAGTCAAGGGCATGTACCTTGGTTGCGGGCAAATCCCCAGTAAGGAGTGTGCAGGAGGCAGCTGATCGATGTTTCTCTCTCATCGATGTTTCTAATTCTCTATCCCTCTCCTCTCCTCTCTGTAAAAAATCAATAAAATATATTTTTTAAAAATGTCATCAATTTGTGGATGTTGATTTTGTATCCTGCTATCTTGCCAAGTTCATTACCTAAGTCTAGTAGTTTCCTGGTGGTGGCTTTAGGTTTAAGTACAATATCATGTGAACTGCAAATAATGACAGTTTTACTTTCTCTTTTCTGAGTTGGATGCCTTTTATTTTTTCTTCTTGTCTGATTGCTGATGGCAGGACTTCCAGTACTATGTTGAACAAGAGTGGTGAAAGCAAACAAAAGATAGAAGGTCATTTTTACATGTACCCACATATGTCCCATATAAATTCCTCCTTTTATTTCTTTTATGTCCATCTAACGTTCCATTCTGGGGTACCTGAGGGTTTGAAATTCTAATAGGAAATATTTTTCCTATCTGTCCATAATATGATTTTCTAATAAACATGGGAAAATCAAATAAAGCAAAAGATTGTAACTCACATGTTTGAGATCATTTTTGAACTGTTTGAGTTCATATCCTCTGGAAATCTTTGGGGAAAACAGCACTGCTCCATGCATATGACTGACTAAAGATGTGATGGTCCGACGGCCTACACCACTGCGTCCGGCTAACAGAAGTGAACCTCCGGGAAAGCTCAGCACTCTATCTATCCGAGACATATACTCCAGGACTTCTTGAAAAAGTAAAATATCTAAATTCTGGTTATCGCGTCCATAATGAATAAGACCCTTTTAAAAAAATCACAAAGAAAAATTTATAATTACTATAAGTCCCAATTGCATAATAAAAATATTAATATCTAGCTTAAGATATTAACTTTTAAGGCACTCCAGAAAAGGAGTTAAGTGACTACATGTATTCTCACACTCCACATTTTATTTATGCAATAATCCAGCTTTATGGCACTTTCTAAGGAAAAACTTATATGTCACACAAGTTCAAGGGTCCACAATAACCACCTCCTCTTGGACACAATTGCTATAATTAATTAGTAAAAAGCAGGGTGAGCTGTCAGGTTAATTATAAAAACTTCAAAAGACCTAAAATTTACCAGTTGTTACAAATCAAATCAAATCAGTGTGCAAGACCAGATATAATAATCCTAAAACTCCAGAAACTAAGTGCCTAAAAAATATTATGTGAACTCTTGTTCTTCAAGATGAGTCAAAATCCCACACACAGGAAGGATGCACCGCCAGGAGCTATGTGACACAGTGAATACAGAGAGAGAGGACAACTAGACCTCACATACTTAACCTTAAACATTTTCAACTTTGCAACATCCTTTCCAGGCAAAGCAATCAATTCACCAGACCATTGAAAACTTTTCTTGATATACAATCCAGGCTAATTTCCAATATGAATATTAATTTTTAAAGCTATCATATGTAATACTGTTTCTTCTTCTTTATTGTAATTAAACTTAAAACAAAACTGCCTAGGACAGTGCCATTCAAAGGTTCAGTGAACCAGCAGCATCAACATCATCTGTGAGCCTGTTAGAAATTCAGATTCTTTGGGCCCCTCCTACTGAATCAGACTTCCTTGAGATGGGGCCCGGGAGTCAGCATATTTTCTAGTTCTTATGCTCACTAAAGTCTGACACCACTGCTCTAGGACGATATACCAATTAATATAAGTCCTTATTCATATTTCCAATATCATGTGTCTTAGCGATTTTATACGTTATCTGTGTAAGCACATGCGCGTGTAGTTAGATCTGCCACAATGAACCATTTTCCAAAATAACCAGCTTTGTATATTTTATAATCTTGTACTCCAAAATCTTTCAATAAATATTTTTTAAATTCATAACTGATATTATACCTTTTTAATAACATCCTTGAGTTCTGTAGAATTTAGTATTCCAAGTGGTTTTCCATGTGGAGGCAATGGTTGTCCTGGCGGTGCCCTTGTTACTGAATCATGTCGGGCTCCCCATGTAACATAGAAACTATCTGTAGAAATAAAAGATATTGTTTTAGGCTTGTTATTTGTAATGGAAGCATCAGTAAAGTACATTGCTCATTAAATTATTTTTAAGTTAATTAGTTCAAATAAGATCATATGCAAAAAGGCAAAGATACATTATTTTAAAGTGTGCCTTGGAAGACCAATAAGATAGTAAGATAGAAAGACTTAAACTGCTAGATCACTCTATGTGAAAACTAACTGATGGGATCCCTAGTTTATCTTTGCATCCCTCTTCTCTTACCCCCAAAATGACTTCCTCCCAACTTTCCCTATTATTCCCCTTCTACTCTGCCCCATTTTCTTTCTCTTTCTCCAGAATCTCCATGTGAAATTTACAGAATAAAAATAACATAAAATTCACAATAATTAAAATAATCTCAAAACTCTCCTTGAAAAAGAACATAGATCAATACTGCTAATAGCTCTAACTTCTAAAATGAATTTTTAAAATTAACCGAATTTTAATTAGAAAACAAAAATCCCACAGACTTCCTGGAAATTTATCTATAGCACTGTCCCTGTTACCATTCAAGAAAAATCTGTTCACCATTCTATCGAACGTTTCCCCTCCCAATTCCTCTGGGAACTGTTCATCAAGAATCCTCCTTGACATATGCCCAACTCAACCACAGCTTAATCTTTCCTAGACCCAAGGTACTTCATGTTCCTCTCCTTCACAATCACATTTCTTACATTATCGTATTATTTTTCTTACATTATCTTCTACCTTCAGAAACCACTAAACTAAAACTCTTATCTAGGAACAATAATACCATCCTAATCGCTAAGTCCAAATCTTTTTTTGCGGTCATTTTTTTGTGCAGCTTCTTATGGAGCCATTCTTATTGAATGTACTTATCAAGTCAAAATCACTACTTTTTTTTTTTTAATCCTTAGCCAAGGATATTTTTTTCTATTTTTAGAGAGACTGAAAGGGAGGGCGGGGAAGGGGAGAAACAGAGAGAGAGATCCATGTGAAAGAGACACATCCACTGGCTGCCTCCCACATGCACCCTGTCTGAAGGGGGGGGGGGAGCGAACCCGCAACCAAGGTACGTGTCCTTGACAGAATCGAACCCTCAACACTCGTCTGTCAGCCAACTCTCTAACCACTGAGCAAACCAGGGAGGGCCAAAATCATAACTTCTTTTCCGTTTTCTGTTTATCCCTTATATGTTTATTTTCCCTCGGATCTAATTCAGACTGTTATTCTTTAATTCTAAACATTCCTCTTGAATAATTTAAGCCTATTCTGTTGCTTAAATTATCAATTATTTACATACCCAAAACCCATCTACTATCTCTAGGCAACTCTCCCCAGCTTTAGTTTAGTCCCATATTTCTAATTGCTTAACAGGCATATAATTCATGCATTCATTAATAAACACTCACCACACACCTGTATGTAAATACTGTGTTTTGTTAGAGATAAATAGTAAGACAAACATGATCCCTACCTTTATAGAACTATAAAATTTATGTAAATTCCCAAAAGACACTCGAAAAGCTTGCAAACATTCAAACACACATCTAAAATTAAACTCCTTATTTTTACTCCTCCTCATTTCTCCCCTAGACTCTGGTAGTAGAATCCTTACCTTGTATCCCTGCCATAGGTCTCTGCCCCCTCAACTATATCCTCACTGCTACTAAAATAACACACACAAAACAAAATCTGATTGGTCCATAACACTCCAATATCACAGATTCCCACTGCCAAAACAAACACGATTCTGCTAATCAAGGCCTTCTGCAATCTGGTTGCACTGACTGCTTGAATCTTCTGTCTCCCTCTCTGCCCCATTATATACTCCAGCTTTCTCAAGCCTTGGGTTCTTTACATATTCTGTTTCCTGTCTGGGATGCCCTTCTCCTCTCCTTCACTTAATACAGTCAACTTCTGCCCTGGCCAGATGGCTCAGTTGGGTGGAACATCATCCCAACTGATGCTCTATCCACTGAGCCAAACTAGCCACGGCTAACTACAGCAATTTTGAAAAAGAATAAAGCAGGAGAAGTCGGTCTAACCAATTTAAGACTTATGTTACTACAGCAATCAAGACAGTGTGGTATTGGCAGAAGGACACACATACACATCAATGGAACAGAATAGAGAACCCAGAAATAGACCAACTCAACTAATTTTTTACAAAGGTATAAAAGGAATTCAAGGCAGAAAGGTAGCCTTTTCAACAAATGGTGCTGGAACAAGTAGACATCCATAAGCAAAGAAGTAAACCTTGACCTAAATCTCATTCTTTTTTTTTAATCCTCACCCAAGGATATTTTCCCATTGATTTTTAGAAAGAGTGGAACAGAGAGGGAAAGACAGAGAGAAATATCAATGTGAACAAAACACATCAATTGGTTGCCTCCTGCATGAGCCCCGACCAGGGCCCGGACTGGGAAGGAGCCTGCAACTGAGGTATGTGCCCTTGTGTCCTTGACCAGAATCAAACCTGGGACCCTTTGGTCCACAGGCCATCGCTCTATCCACTGAGCCAAACTGGCTAGGGCTAAATCTCATTCTTTATACAAAAATTAACTCAAAGTAGACCATTGACTTAAAACACAAAACTATAGGGGGAAACCTTTAGAAACTAGAACTAGACAGAGTTATTACCAGACACCAAAAGATCCTTTCAAAAAATTTAATTCATTGGGGTTCACAAAATGAAAACCTTTTTACCTGTGAAGGAACCTGTTAAGAGGATGAAAAGACAAGCTATAGAGTGAGAGAAAATATCTGCAAACCACAATTTGACAAAGGACTGGTATCTAGAATAATTATAACTCTCAAACTCAACAGTAAAAAAAAATAAACACTCTAATTAGAAAATGGGCAAAAGGCATGAAGAGACATTTCACTGAAGAGGTTATACAGATGGCAAATGAGCCCATGAAAAGATGTTCAACTAAATTAGCTGTCAGCAAAATGCCTATTAAAACCACAAGGACATGAATACACACTTATCAGAATGGTTAAAATTAAAAAGTGACAATACCAAATGCTGGCAAGGATGCAAAGCAATTCTATCACTGATATATCACTGATGGGAATGTAAAATGATACAGCCACTACAAAACAACATGGCAGTTTAAAGAACATAAGCATACAAGTACCATATAACCCTACAACTGTACTTGTTAGCATTTATCCCAGAGAAACAAAACTGTATGTTTACACAAAAACCTGTACATGTGTTTATCACAGCTTTCTTCCTAATAGCAAAAAACTTAAAACAATCCAATGTCCTTCAACAAAATGATTAAAGAACTGTTAGTTCACCTGAATACCTACTCGGCAATAAAAAGGAACAAACTAATGAAATATGCAACAACCTGCATATGTATATCTCCAGAGAATTATCCTGAGTGCAAATAAGATTATTGAAATGGCAATATTAAAGACAGAACAAACTGGTAGTTTCCATGGGGTGAACTACAAAAGGGTAACATGACAGATCCTTATGATGATGTTCTGTATCTTAAGTGCATCAATATCAATATCCTGGCTGTGATGTTGTACTATAAGTTTGTCAGATGTTACCACTGGGGAGACCCAAGTAAAAGACACATGTGCTCTCTCAGTATTAATTCTCACAACTGTATGTGAATCCATAATTATTTCAAATTAAAAATTAGTTTTAAAAGTTTCAAGGTAGCTTCCTCAAAAAAATTATGATTATATACCTCTTATCAAGCATTTATCCCAAATTATTCAGAAAAGTTGTACTGATTGTAAAACAATGTTTGCTGTATTGTAATTATCAGTTTAACAATCTACTTACACAAATCTTTGTGGCATCTGATCACATTAGCAATAGTTATAATTGCAAGCAACGACTTTCATATCTGTATCTGCAACCAGATTACAAGTTTTTTGGGGCACAAGAATATGTCTGGTTTATTTTTTTAAGTCCCAATATTAAGTTTTATTAGTAAATTAATATTTCTCTATATGAAAATCTTATTTTCCTAGATATAACATATATCAACCCTTCATTGAAAAGTAAACTATTGAGGACCAGCTGGTTTGGCTCAGTGGATAGAGCGTTGGCCTGTGGACTTAAGGGTCCTGGGCTCGATTCCAGTCAAGGGCACATGCCTGGGTTGCAGGCTCGATCCCCAGTAGGGGGCTTGCAGGAGGCAGCTGATCAATGATTCTCTCTCTTTTTATCTCTCTATCCCTCTCTGTTCCTCTCTTAAATCAATAAAAATAATTTTTTTAAAAGAAAGTAAAATACTGAGAAAAAACCCATATAATATTTGAGTCCTACATAGGAGACTC